TGGAACCGTGGCACCCTCACGCGGGCAAAAGGGGGTGCGCGGTGGAGCTACGTGTATTTTGGCACGTTCCGTCCGTCATGCATGAAGAATCGCATCACGGGAGCTCGGGACAAAATAGGCCTGAAAGTTAATTGTGAGGACGCTTTGCAGTGTAAACACGGTGGAGCACAGCTGTCCCCCAAAACCCATTAAGTAGTACATTTACAGTATATCATTAAATGAATGATTAGTCCAGATCACTTGCTGCCTAGAGAGAGAAATTTGTACTTCACGATTAAGCGCTCTGTCATCCTAGCACATGGCAGGTACCACGATTACTAGGAAATAAAAATAAGACCATTGTTACTGCCCCAGTAGAACTTCACTACAGCGTTGTCCTTTACTAGTTATGGTACTTACATCCCTAGCTACAACCAGGAATTGCACTGTTTAAGAAATGTACGTGATTATGTCACACGTTACTACCAGGCTTAGAAAACAGTGCTAGCACTGAGCAGCATGACAAGGTCTTATGGATCATTAAAAAAAACCAACAAAAAACAACTTTCCATTTTCAATCCTGTGCATCAATGAGTGATGACTCCCTTCCGATCTATTTCTTTTATGCCGTTGCCAAAAGAGAATAGGGGAAAGCTGCAGCCATGTTTACCCAGGGAGGTTTTGCTACTTAAAGCAATACAGTGGCACAGATACAGTTACACTGTCAAGTCCCTGTCTGGAAATCCTTATTCCGTAATAATACAGTTCCAGCCAGATACTTGCTTCTTGGAAGAGGCTGAGAATGCAGCTCAGTCTCTTACTGAGAAGGGTGCCTTTAGCAATTAGTTTGTATCCTGCACAGAGACACTCTAGACCACTCATCTACATCCCAGACTTGATGCCTTTGCATCCTACCTCCTCTTCCCTCCCTCCTTCCATTATCTGATACATTGCCATCTTCTCTATCTTTCTACTAATGGGACTGGATGGACCCAGATGATTTCAGTTGTGGAAATGCAATGTAAGCGCTCCTGAGCTGTCTCTGGCTCAGAAGAGCCTGCATGTTCCACATCGTACCTCACTGATTTGTGATAACGCATCACTGCTTGGAAGAATCTTGCTCTAGATGAATGACATGAGCTCCAGTGCTGGAGAGGCGCCCAGTCCACTGCCAGCATCTCCTAGCAGACCAAACGAAACACAGACTCAATTTCCAAATAAAAAGTTGTAAGACAAGCTTGTTTCAAACCTGTTTTATTTTTCTAAATTGAACTGAGACAAAGGACCTATACAGTTTGATTACTGAATACTGTTAAGGGTTTAAAAAAAAAAATGTAGAAAATATACTCACAAAGGCAAACCTTGGAAGTTTTTCTGCCAATTTTTCTGCCACTCCCAGTAGTGAGCAAGTCCTATCTATAGTTGCAGAGAGACCTATTTAAAAACTGCTGGTCTAGTACTCTTTGTGGAGAGGAAAAAAACCCCAAACCCAACAAAAACCGAAAAAACCAACACACATTTCCCCTAACAATATTTAAAAGAAACGCACAGATACATCATAAGCATCTAGACACACCAATTTACATCCAAAGAAAAACAGCTCTAACAGGTATTGATATGTACTCACATGCAGACATCATGTCCCTTGCAACCTGGCATCATTACTATTAAACCATTTGCAGCCCCATGCCCAGATTGTTCTTGGACTGCAGTCTGGTTGGGACGCTTGTTCATCAGCGTTCACCGATACTCATAGCCACAACCCTGAGAACAAAACTTTCCTTGTACTTGAGTAAGGTGTTCCCCAACCTGTCTGAAGCATTGGAATGGCAAAACATGCAGTATTTTTAATGTATTATTTAAATACATAAATGTGTATAAAATCAGAATTTCAAAAGCAAAGAATTTTCAGCAGTCCTGTGCTTGCAAGTCAAATATAGCGATATGCCAAAAAAATTTTCCAAGACTCAGGCATGGTCTGCATTAATTTTGTCATGTGGTGGAATAGTACTATCAATTGGAGGGGCGTTACTTTTTGTGAATACCAGCCAAAGCAAGTATACTGGAAATAAACTGGTTTTACCTTTATATCTTATTTTGCTTGGGGTGGAATGTTATACATCTTTTAAACTAATTTAACTGCTTCCCCCCCCCCCCCCCCCCCCCA